CTCTCTCTCTCTCTCTCTCTCTCTCTCTCTCTCTCTCTCTCTCCTCGAAGAAATACGATATTTACCAAATCGACATCGACCACGCGCGGTTTCATCCCCCATTCGCGGAATACCTGCCCTTCCTCCCTCTTCTCGAGGAGGGGGTTAGAAGGCGCGTTGCCTCGTCGCCCATGAAACGGAGGAAGAAGCACGAAGAGGAGGAGATAGGAAGGGAGAGGGGGGATTGGTTCGCGTGCTCGAAGTAATCTGATTTATGTTTGACTCTCCCCGTAGGAGACGAGGAGTCCTGGGAAAGAAGAACTTTTTAAGAGATTGACTTTCAGCGAAGAGGAGGACCGACGAGGACGACTACGAGGGGGAGGAGGGCTGAGCAATCGAAAATAAGGGGCGAGAGGTTACGGGGAGGTTACGAGGAGGGGATTCTTTAATAGATTCCGACGTTTCGCGAAGTTTGTCAGTGTGGAAACGTGGAATAGTCCACGGAGGAACGACAGCTGGGGACGACGGTTTTTTCCACCTTCTCCTCGTTGCTTCGTCCCGAGAATTCATCGACTTTGAGTCGCCAACTTCGAGACGATTTCGAATTCCGCTATACACTTTTTCGTTCGAGTATGATGGTTTTGCTTTTAGGAGCAGAAGAAAAAAAAAAAAAAGAAGCTTCTCGCGTCGATTTCGATTGATTTATCGGTTTTGAAATTGCGTACACGACTCGTTCTGTTTGAAAAAAGAAGAAAGAAAAACTAGGACAGGGTTTATTTTAAAAGTTGAAAAAACGAGATGAACTTGGAAGAAGATGTACAAGTTATAAGAGTCATATTTACTATTTTAGTTGGCTCGTTTGTTGTAAATGTGCGTGAACTTTTTAAAGACGTTTCTGTAGAAAAGAAAAAAAAAAGAAAGAAAGAAAAGGATACAAAAGCAAAGTAAAATAAAGTTTCGAGCTAATCCAAGATTTAAGAAGCCGAAGTCCGGAACTTTCTTCCCAATTACTTGGTCCACGTGAAGTTGGCGGAATTCGTGGCTAGAGGGATGCAAAGAGAATCCTTGCCAGGGCAGATTTATCGGGGGAAGCGCGACACCCGGAGCGAAATCCTTCTACGGCGGAATTTATGGCGGACAACGGTATCAAAAAGCAGTCGATACTGCATTCGTTCCAAGTTCCTTCGAGAGAGAGGGGGGAAGCTTTAGATCTCTCGCGGACTAATTTATTTTGATGGCGGAACTGCGCTTAACGGCCGGTTCAAGACGTTTCGTTACAGTTCCTTTACGTCCCTTACGATGCTAAGTTGCAGGCACGGGCATATCTCACACAGGGACCGCTTAAGACAGGGAGGAGAGCTCGCTTCGAACTCGACGGTGATTTAGTTAAATCCACCTTTGGCGCTTAGTTTCACGAGTTAACGTCACCAACTTTCTTACAATTTACCTACGGACGGGGATACCGTGCTCCTGGGATAAAGAGGAATTGCGCGGATTCTGTATCAAGCCTCGATCTTTCGTACCTTTCAATTCCGTGATTTCGTCCGAGCCAGCTCCACCATTTCAAATATAATTCCACTCCACCACGGTTGGAAGAGTGAAATTTAAACTCGCTTTGCTTTGCTTTCTTCTTATCGCTCCTTAATCTGCTATGAATAAATGCTTCTTTTATTTTTTTTTTCTCTTCTTTGAAAAGTTGACACGATTGTCCGCGAAGGATTAATCACGTAACAAAAAATTAGCGAAAAGAAAGCAAGCGAAGAAAGCAAACGTTTCGGGTGTAAAGGGATTATAAACATATATGTATACATGTTAGTAGAAAGTTGATAAGTTTATTATCACGTAATGGATACACAAAGGTTAGATGTTAGTTCTCCTAGTTCTCCTACTTGAAGCTCCAGTTTCTACTTATAATACGCTTGTTCCTAATTTAGCTATTCTAAAATTTCTGCGAACCCTCGAAATCGTTACGACGTATATTTAAACCCGCTCTTCCTTATTTATCATCTAACTTCTTAAATATCATATATATATATAAATATGTATATTCGCCGCTCGTCGTCTAATTATCGCAAACAGACATTTATCCTTACT